GTAGTTTCAAACTGCTGACCTTGAGGTTAGCAGCCCAACTTGTAACCACTACACTACCAGAGCTCCTTCAGAATTACATAAGCAATATAAAAGTAAAATAAGGTATTCAAGGTTTCAAACAAATAATGAATGAAAGAGCCCATGGAAAAATAGTGTTATTTTGTGGACAGATATTGTCTACTTCCATGATCTAAGACAAAGTCATTAAAATTCATTCTAATGTTTTACATTTAAAGTACATTTCCCAATTTAAGTTAGAGAAATTTCAAAACTAAATAATGATGATGTTTACTATAGCTGGGCAGAATGGGTGCACACTGCTCTCAGCTGCACATAAGCTGTATTTAAATGTGCAAAGGTACATCAGTGTCCCAATAGCTTTTCCCTAACTTATATAAATGCTCTATCTCCTTTAATCTACCTTACTTCCAGAAGTGATGTACAAAGAAAATTAATATGGATAAGTAGGTGATATTTTGATTTAACTCCATAAATATTATTGGCCATTCTCTACTTGTCAACGATTGGTCTAAATATTATACTTCTGAGTGTTGTTAAGTACTGTCAAGTTGGTTCTGATTCATAGAGACTCTGTAAAGGCTTTCTGAGGAGCAGCTGGTAGGCTAGCAGCTGGTAGGCTAGCTTATCCTAAAGTACAACACCAGCATTCTATACTTCTAAACAGAGTCCACTTAAAATGCTCCATATTTTCAAGCTCAAGAAACAGTGTCAAAATAAACCATCATAAGGAACAGATAATGTTGGGTAGACTTTGCCTTGGTTATCTTTTTTGCCTCATTCATTAAGCAGAAATTGAATGGGTTCATATCATTACCATGATATTAGAGGGGAGAATAAATCGATTATAAAGTCTTAAATCTTTCAGACATATCTCAGACAGTATCTCTCTAACTTGCCAAGGAAGGTCCAAACAAGACTTACCGTAAGTTTTCTGAGCTGAATTCTGACTCAAGAAATTTCAGGAACTGTTCTCTCCCAACTGGGTCCTTTAAAGCTTCATCCATACCAAAACCCCATCGTTTTACCCTCTGCTGACTCGGCTCTTTGCTACAGGATATAAAACAAACCAAATATATTGTTTTCATCACAACTGCTAATTTCTGTCTTTTAATTTACCCTCAAAGTCATATATGTTTTGAAGTTCCTGTCTTTAATTTGTTTTTCAGAAAAAAAAAAAAAATCTGAATGAAGACTCTGCTGAAAATATAGGGAAGCATCAGTAATAAAATCAACCAATTTATCAGAATTTTGTGCTGAGCGTTCTACTTAAATGATGTTGGTTTTTTCTGATATTTTATGAGACAGGTACCATTATCATTTCCTTTTTATAGATGAGGCAATAGAGGGTTACAACTTGCCAATGTGAATCAGGTAGTAAAGTACAGTAATACAAACATGTTAACCTCAGAGCTCAATTTCTCAACTATTCTATAATGCAGTCTTGCTGTGGTATGCTAATCAGTGTGGTAGGTAGCACATTGGGACCAAGAGGCCTAAATTCTTGGCCATCGACTCTGCTGTCCATTCAGTGTGTGACCTAATCCTGACTAGTCACAAAAGTATGTGGATTTATTAAGTGTGAACGAAGATTTCTAGACTTGTCAAATGTTGTAGAACCAGGGCTAAATTTGGACAAAATCATCACCACCAGTTGCCATTGAGTTGGTTCTGACTCATGGTAACATTACGTATGTCAGAATAGAACTGGGCGCTATAGGATTTTCAACGATGATTATTAACAAGTAGGTCTTCCTTCTGAAGCACAACTGGATGGACTCAAATCATGAGCCATCCACTATGTTAACCACTTAAAAACCACGGAACTCCTGAGAAGAAACTGTGGTCCATAAATGCAACATACAGAAGTACCGGGTAACGCTAAATCCTTATTTTACAGCGATATGCAAAGGATCTTTTATTAATTTGTCAGGGTTGATGATAAAATTCTTCTGTTATGTAGCTCATGAAAACAATGGATGTTTTAAATTATGCTTTGGTTCTCTCAAGAGGGTAATCTCTTGTCAATTTCTGTTAGAGAATTTATGGCAAGTTTCTTTGGTTTTAAAATTTATTTATAAAAACATTTTGTATTAGGTCTAAGTATGTTTGGATTTAGTATTAATTTTGGATGAAAACGTAGACTTTTGGCTATGTGGATTTCAAGTAAACTAAAAGCAGTGAGCTAATTTCAAGAATTAAACATTGTCAACTCTGATTTTATGCTAGTTTTTCCAGCAATAAAAATTTCAATGCAAATGCCTAATGTTCGAAAACAATTATCTTGTATAAGAATTTTATATAATGAACCAATGTATGCAAAGAATAAAATTACATTTTATAATTAATTAGTTATAGGATTCTTCCTGTATCACCCAGATTTGAAATAGATTAATATATTTAGAAAAGCAAAAAATGTCACCTACCTTGCTTCAAGTTCCCAGAAAGTAGTATCATCGGACAGCCATGGGTTAGAAGGGTCAGGTGGCACAAGAAATGGGTCATATTCTAAATACTGTTCTGTGTAACTTAGCAGACTAGAGAGAAAAAAAGATTGCCATTTTCCTTAGTTTTCTGTATGAGGTTAAACCCAGTCCAAAGTAAGAGACACAAGATAAAGTAACTGGCCAAGGAAGCCTGTGCACTTACAGAATAAAATTCAATGGTAGTTTCACTTTCCAACAAGTTACACTTTTTGGAAAACATGCAGTTAAGGATCCCATTTCTCATTATGCCTAAGCCCACCAAAAATCACTACTCATTGCCATCAAGTCAAGTCTAACTCATAGCGACCCTGTACAGAGTTTTACCACTGCTGCTGTTATTGTTAAGTGCCATCAAGTTGGTTCTGACTCATAAGAGCCCCATATAGGGTTTCCAAGGAGCAGCTGATGGGTTTGAACTGCCAACCTTGAGTTTCACAGTCCAGTGCTGATACTACAGCGCCACACCCCAGGAGTCCAAATTTAAAATCTTCTCAAAAGCAGAAAGTCTCATCTTTCTCCCATGGAGCAGCTGGCAGTCTCGAACTGGGAGCCATGTGGTTCACAGTCCAGTGCTTATTGTATGGGCTGTAAATTTTGCAGGAGCAGAAAGCCTCATATTTCTCCCATGGATAGAGGGTGGACTTGAACTGTTGACCTTGTAGTTAGTAGTTAGCGGCCCAGTAATTATCCTACAGCTCCACCAGAGCGAACTGTGCTTAGGTCAGATGAGTCAATACCACTCAACTAAAATGAAACAAAGAGGAAGAAGTCACTTTGTTAAGGGAAATTTTAAGGGTCAGCCAGCGCACCCAAGTTGAACTGACCATAGCCAACTTGGAAACAGAAAGAAATAAAATGCATGACAAAATTATTTGGAGGAATTACATAAAAGGAGAATCACTGACCAAAGAAAAAATCCATCCTTTTAAAAATCTGTGTTAAAAAAAAGAAAAGAGAAGAAGAAATGAAAGAGGAAAGAAGTTGGAAAGGGAAGATTTGGCCATCAGTGTTCAAAGCTAGAGAATATAAATACTTTTAGAACAGATTTAATAGGGAAAATACCCTTGAATTACCAATTCAAATTATGAAGTCAAGCAATAACTGAGTAGTATGACTGTTCAGAGGAATTTACAGAGAGGATCTAAGTTGCTAAGATGTAATGTAAACTACAACACCTCTACAAGAAAAAGACAAGCAACCTAACTAAAAAATGGGCAGAGGACATGGACAGACACTTCACCAAGAAAGATTTTCAGGCATCCAACAAACATATGAAGAAGTACTCATAATCACTAGCCATTAGATGTAAATCAAAACAACAATGAGACAATATCTCACACCAGCAAAGTTAAAAAAAAGAAAACAACACATGCTGGTAAGGGTATGGAGAGACTGGGATGCTCCTACATCACTGGTGAGATTGTAAAAGGGTTCAAGCACTGTGGGAAATGGTATGGTGCTTCCTGACAAAGTTGGAAATAGAATGACCCCATGACCCAGCAATCCCTTACTTGGTATATATCCATAAGAAATAAGAGCTAGGACATGAGTAGATATATGCACACTGAATCCATCAAAGCACTATTCACAATAGGAAAATGATGGAGACAACCTAAATGCCCATGAATGGAATCATGAATAAACACACTTTGGTACATACATATAAAGAAATACTATGCAAAGGAGCTCTGGTAGCGTAGTGGATACTAATCGGGCTGCGAACCTTAAGGTCAGTGGTTCGAAACTACCAGCCGCTCCGCGGGAGAAAGATGAGGCTTTCTACTCCCGTAAGGATTTACACCCTTGGAAACCCTGTACAGGGTCGCTATGGGTCGGAACCGACTC